ATTGATGATTTGTAATTTTTATTTGATGGAAGGCAAACAAGTCAAGAAGTACCACCAAAAAAGCCAAAATAGATTTTTCTTTTATACTGACAAAAGTACTATTGATACATTCACCTTGACTTTTAACCTGCTGTTTCACATGGTAATAAATATACATTATCTAATTTGAACAATCATGAATTAGGTTAGGCACAGCTAGTAATGATGAGAAGGTGAAAACGAGATGAAGAAGATTGCATGACCTGCTCTAGGGTGGTAGTTCTTGAGCCAGAGATTTTACATCTTTGAACAGTAAGAGTCTTGTACTGAAATCTTGAGAGGATCTGCAGTGTTTTTATTTAAAATCCATTTTGGATATAATTTAATTCCTTTATTAACTTGCTTTTTTACTTATCAGAAGTCAAAAATACACTTCAGGACAGTTCATGGGATTGTTAGCAGCAGTGAGTGATAGACTCCAGCAGAGTCTGATCAAGAGAAATTGTGGCGCTAATGTCAGAAAATACTGGGCCCTAGTGCACTTTATCCAGCTGCCTCAAGCCCACTGCATGTTGGTAGATTTCAAATAATTGCTTTATGAAGTTTTGTCAGAAATCTTTTGGAAAAGTCTGCATGAGGTGCATGTCATTAAAAATGCTTTTGGGGTTTTCAGTTACTGAAGTAGGACCGTGCTGACTCTCAGATGTGTACTGCAGGCCTTTCACCATCCTTGACTGCATGTTAGACTGTCCAGCCTGCTGCTCAGAGGGTCTGCTTTGGTTGGATTCCGTTGGAATTTGCCATTGTGGTTCTCCTGAACGGCTGGAGTTTCTGACCCACGTGTCATGCTGCTGTGTGTAGATGAGAAGTCATATCTCACCCTGCAGCCCAGAGCAGTGTGTCAGTAGGGGGTCGGCGTTCCTGTGAGCCGCAGAGCAGCCGAGCCTGCTAGGGTAAGGGGCTTCTCACAGCAGGGTGGAGGTTTGTTTCTGCCTCTCCATGCTTTAGGAGTTGGCCTTTTTTCTCCCTTTTGACTTCTTCCTTGCCATGCTGGTTACAATATCATGCACGGCCCTGCAAGGGACTTTGTAAAAATAGTAAGATTTACTTGACAATTCTGAGAATGAATGAACGTTGGGAAATGAATCTTAGGCCTACACACAGCATGTTGAACTCCTTGTGAGTAGGGAAATCCTTTTGTTGATAGTGTGCCGTGCTTTAACTTCTTAATGTATTATTGGTGCTTAATTATTCACTCTTCAGGGACCCTAGTAAAAAGTGTGTGATAATGTTTATGATGCTAGCCTCTTACCAAATTAAGAAGAGAGAAGGTTTCTTGATACCTTTTAATGATATATTTAATGACAATATTTTACTGAATTTTAACTCTTTGAAAGGCGATCATTTTAGATAGGTTAGAAGCCAGAGTATTTGATTCTTGGTAATATTTCTAGCCAGGCTCCATAATTTATTTTTAGGTTGTTTCTTAAGTACTTGAGCAGTAAATTAGAAAAGAATATGCTTTAGTAATTTTATCTTTAATTCATAGGAGTAAAGTGGAGGAATTATACCGTGAAATAGTGCATGTGGGTGCTAGCTGTGAATGTATACTTGGCATTAATGTGCGGGGAAACTGTGTCTCCCATTTCAGAGGGACACAGCAATCGCTTCTGGTTGGCAATTTTGTCTTCTCTATACTTCTTCATTTTCCTAAGATAAAGGTAGTGTTTTCATAGGAAGAAAAGCGATTTGAAGGCAGAGTGTACACTTGTTCAGCAAGCTCAGTGTCTGCTGAAAGAATGTGCTCTGTTCTGTTCCTGGACAGGTATGAAAGCTCTGGCTTTTCAGGGCTGACTTGTGCTTTGCTAGGGTGACAGTGTGAGTTGCTAGGGCCCTTGTTATTCTGTTGAAGTGAGTCATTAGGGAGGCTTTGACTTTTTAAGGATTCTTACTTTTAGGCATGGGGGAAGTAAGGCTGTGGTGAGGGGCCACTGGGTTTGACCTTGGTGGCCCAGCAGCCTGCTGCCCTGAGGCTTAAGCATTTGGCATGCAGTGCCCTGTGGCTTGGTTGGGGACTGCTGGGTGGCCCTGTCCCCTCCAGACCTCCTTATGCCCCCTGTCTTGTTTGTTTTGCAGTGAATATAATTTGTCATTCATAGGAAGATGACGCAAAACGTTACATATAATTTGTAGGAATAAGTTTGTGTTCAGTGAGTGTTTCTTGGTTCTTGCGTGTTTTGGTATAGATAGTATATAAATTTTGTTTTCAGTAGGTTATCATGTGAGATTTTGAAGAGATTTCCTGTACTTAATTTTTCTTAAATACCCATAATATTCTGTTGACTTCAGTATAATTTTAAAAGGGTAGTGAAATGCTGAGACTGTAAGACATTAGAATGTGGGATACAAATACTGCTTTCAGAGTCATAAGATCTTATAGTGTTAAGGTGTTAAATCTCTGAGTTAATTTTCTTCATAGAATCATTCTTACTTTTCCCACTGAAGCCTAGCTATATTTAAAAATTATATTCATAGTTACCCCCAGTGTAAATACATATGCAGTGATATGGTGATTTGTGCTTTAATTATTGAACACCATTTTAAAATAAGTCACTTTTTAAAACTACAACTTGGCTAATAAATGAAGGAATTGAATTTGATGTGTTTGTAAGATCTCCTTCAAGTAAAATGAGTTTACTATGCAAGGAGCTGCTTCCTTTGTAAGGGCTCTTCTTGGTTTCTCAGATGGGTCTTTTCCTCTGTGGGCGTAGGAGGCCGTGAAGGCATGAACGGAGCACACTTCTCTGGCATCTGTGGGAGGGAGGGCACCCTGAAGGGAAACACAGAGTGGGGTACGCAGGTGGCTGTGCACTCTAAGGTATGTGATTGTTAACAGTATCTTTGGTCTCTGCTGCTGTCACAGATTATCTGGGGGGTTGCATCTATTCCCTGCTGGGGCTTGATGGGGAAAGCAGAGAAGCCCTGACATATGACTTATATAGTCTAGCCTAGTTTATTGGAAATTAAGAAGCAAATAGGAACTTAGTTCTCTTTTTAGAATTTTATGGGGAAATTTCAGGTACATGCACAGACAGATAATATGTTGGCCACCTGCTCAGTGGTCATTAAACCTCATCAACTTGTGTTGGTCTTAAGATGTTAATTTTATCTATGTTTGCTAAGATGTGCGGATAAGCATCTTGTAAGGTCAAGGTACTGACATCAGAAGCATTTCTGAACAAAGATGTTGCAGTTGGTGGGTGGGTAGACAGTGTTCAGCTGTTGTAGAAGATGCATAAATAGTATCATATGGACTTTAATCTTTTGGTTGTTCAGAGATAGTGTGCATATTTCTGCTTAACCCCTGGAAACACGCCAAAATAATTTGCATCCTCTCTCCTTGGCACCTTGACTGTGCATAGTCTGAGTAAAAGGAAAGGTTTATACTGGGAGTGCGTTGGAGAGAGCTGCTGAGGAGGGACATCTTCAGTTCCGCCATTGGGTCCCCTACTATGGGATTTCAGCTCAGCCCCTGGGTGTCGGCTGGTTCCCTCACCAGAGAACTCTTTCTCCAGCCCTTTGCTCCATCTGGAGTAGTGTTATTAAAATGAAATTAGAACTCAACATTTCTGTTCATTTCTTTGACACTTAGCTTTAAATATTCATATCATTGTCTTTCCGTCACCTCAGGATACATTCATTTTGCCCCAGAAGGAATTAGTTGGTCTTTCTCTAATGAGAGAGAAGCGTTCCGTATTGGTTATGGAATTCTTTAGCAGTTACTTGTCGCAGGCTTTAGCTTGAACAAATGTCCTTTAAAATTAGTGTTTCATATTTCTTATGAAATGCCTAGGAGAGGTATTGCTGGATCATATGATGTTTATATTTTGGGTGTTCATTTGAAATTTTAAATATGTTGGGCTGGGGCAATAGCACAGAGGGTAGGGCATTTGCCTTGCACGCGGCCGACGCGACAGACCCAGGTTCCATTCCTCTGCCCCTCTCGGAGAGTCTGGCAAACTACCGAGAGTATCTTGCCCACACGGCAAAGCTTGGCAAACTACCCCTGACGTATTCGATATGCCAAAGACAGTAACAAAAAGTCTCACAATGGCGACGTTACTGGGCCCCCTCGAGCAAATCGATGAACAATGGGAGGACAGTGCTATAGTGCTATACATTTTTTTATTTTATTTCTTTGCGTTTTGGGTCACAGCCGGTGATGCACAGTGGTTACCCTGGCTCTGCACTTAGGAATTACTCCTGGCAGTGCTCTGGAGACAATGTGTGTGCTGGGAATCGAACCCGGGCCGGCTGCATGCAAGGGAAATGCCCTACCTGCTGTGCTGTTGCTCCAGCCCCCTAAATTTTAAATATTTTTAATTTTTCAGTTTTTAATCCTACCTTTGGAGACCATAAAATCTGTTTTACTTTTTTCTGTGGGGCATCCTTTTACAGATAGTAGGCCATAGGGTTAGACAGGAACTGTTCAGGTGTCCAAACCTCATTTTTAAGTATAAAATGGACATTTTTATGTCAGTTGAGTGAAATAATATTCAACTTTGGTTATCTTCAAATTTCATTTGCACTGTATAGTTGAGTAGAAATATATCCTTAGTTCAAATCTTTAAATAGATTTGTAAAACTGGAATTGAGGAGTTTTAGTTAACTTTCCAGATTACTTAGAAAAGAGGACAAATTTTCTTATATCGAGTTTTCAGGCTTTTAAAGTGCATGGCTTATTTATTTATGGTTTGGGACCACACCCAGCAGTGCTCAGGGCTACCTCTTGGTTCTGCACTTAGGAATGACTCCTGGCACGCTCAGGGAACGAACGGTACAGGGTACCAGGGATTGAACCTGGGTCAGCTGCTTTTAAGGCAAACACCAATACCCGCTGTACTATCTCTCCAGCCCCTACATGTGAGATTTAAAGATGTAGTGGAAGATCTGAAAATAAAAACGTGCTTGAAAAAATATTATTGGAAATGCCTCACATAATTCTTAACAAATTATTACAGCAAACTCTGGCCTGTTCTATTCTGACTGCACTTTTGAGTGAATTCTCAAGTTCCAGCAAAACGAGTAACATTGGACTGAGTATGGAGTTCCATGGTAACTGCAAAAGAATTTTTCAGGTATTGACATTTTCTTTGTTTGTTTTAGCTCACTTCTTATTCAGTCTGTTGCTGATGGAGCAAGAATGTTATATATATTTATGTGTATATATATATATAGTTGAATGATAATCTTAAGCTTGAGGGCTTGTTTTATAAGTTTATGTTTTATAATTTTATAGGATAGTGACAGATTTGGTGAACATTGATTACTTGCTTGCTTCTAGACTTGAAACAATAAAAATGAAATCATACATTAAAAGTTCTTTAGTTTTATTCTTATTGTGCTTAACTATAATCAACTGGTGGGATTCTGTAGACCTTAAAAATAGGCCTGGAAGAGTGCCCAAGAGTGGAGTGTATTTAAAATGTTATTGCAGATGGTGTGCGCTCTTTGTCTTGTATGTATTGTTTGGCTCTGAAGTCAAGTTATGTGGCGGCCTTGGCTTCAGGCCGAGGGCTCTGCACTATAGCAACTGAGCGCTCTGGCTCTTGGTAGTTGTCACAGCCTCCCTTTCTCTTGAGTTGTGTATGTAGAGCAGCGAGTGTGTCCAAACTGCTGTCATTTGAAAGCAGACTGTGATGTAAATCATGAGCAGCCCTCGAAATGGAAACAGTTCTTAAAGAAGTAGGGTTTTCCATCAGAAATGTTCAGGTTCTTTTTGTGTGTGATGGTTCTAAAGAGGAATCCATTTTCAGTCCCTCTTTGATGCAGTTCCTGTGACTGTTGGGATCTGTTTGTTACAGGAAGAAGACCTCCGTCAGATCTTCATGTTGACTGTGGGGGTACTGCAGGAGTTCAGCAGGCGGGAGAACCTCAACGCGCAGATGTCTTCCGTGTTCCAGCGCTACCTGGCACTTGCCAATCAAGTCTTGAGCTGGAATTTTCTGCCTCCAAATTATATCCTTTGACCAGCAGTTTGTTTGTGGGTAATTTTATAAATGACTTAATTGTGACTGGAAGTACTTTCTTCTTCGTAGGTCTGTAAAACATTCTATTGAAGGGAAAACAAGAGTCTTCTTCAGAAATGGATTTTTTTTTCCATATTGCCAGAGTGCAGTGCAGTGTTAGGAGATTGTAAATTTCATTTATAACTTTGTATAAGAGGAGTTGAATAAGGCAGAAAATAGGACTGTTGCTAATCAGGGAACTAGTTATTTTCCCTAGGAAGGAGAAGAAAGAAAGCTGGCACCTTTATTTTTTAAAATAAGGAACTGAATTATTTTCCTAAAATGTGATTTCTTGGGATTTTTGGACTGATATTCCTGAAGGTTAGTTTGGAATTCTGTAATAGGAGTTCTTGTGGATGTGGATGATACTTGTTACTGTAGATAATAAGGCAATATATTCTTCAAAGACCTTTTCCAGTATAAAAGCATGAAAATTTCATTTTAAGCAAATTATCAGTACAATATAAATTTAAATGGATTATATAGATGAATGTACCTATCGTTTGTTGAAGTGGAAGAATTTATATTTTAGAAAAGAGTTTCTTAGTTTGGAGCCTATGATTTATATTTGCTGCCTATTTATAGATTGAAGCAGCAATAGGCAGTGGCCGTCCATTTCCTCCATTGTTGAGTCAGGCAAATCAAGAAGCAAGTTTCAGCTGGTGTTAGGTAAATGTCAACTTCTTAGCCTCTGTGTTGCCAAGTGTACGGAGGTATGGTTTAGTGACATAATGAAGCAACGCTTCAACTCTCAGGAGTTAGCTGTTGAGCTCGTTAGTCTTGACGAGCTGTCTGCAGTACCCTCTTGTCTTTCGCCAGCACTTCCTCCATATGATTGAAGAAGCTAGAGAAACTTTAATTTGTTTTAGATGTCTTTAATCAGTTCCTTTTTTGGGACCTGGCTGTGTGCATGGGATAAGACATAGGTGAAAAAGACAGATAGTAAGCAAGAAAGAAATAGTTGTTCAGCAATGTCATAGTTAGAATGAGAGTCATCTTTATTCCAGAAGCCCAGAGTGCCTGTACTCACATACAAAGAAATAATTACTCATGGCTTGTGAAATTGTAGGATTTTAAAGGAGCAGGATGTGGTGTTTGTGTAGCTTTTTCTCCTGTTTTCTAAACAGCACATTCGTGTAATAGGGAATTCATAATAAATGCTGAGCATTAGGGTCACAGTTCTGTGACTCAAACCCTGAATTTTCCAGTTTCTATTCCAAGTGTAATTACATCGAGCTTGGGGCAAAGCTAATGGAAGCTGACACTTTGATTTTGGCTCCAGTTATTCTCCTGTTGATCAATTTTATATCTTTAATATATTCTTTAAAAGAGGCACCTAATTTCTTACCTTTGCATAAAATTTTTTCCTTCATTGTGAGAGTTGGGAATAATTTTCTCTGTTTTTTTTTTGTTTGTTTAAATTCAAAGAGAACGCACAAAACATTTGAGACAGATTTAGAAACTAACAGGCTTTATGAAATTATCAAAACATAGTTATGTATGTGGGGGAAAATCAAGGAAAATGACACTGCATACATAGTAGCCAATTTAAAAATTTATATTGGGGTATTTGTAGTCGGCCAAGGATGTTTTATAAAGAGAAACAGTGTGCTGGGAGTTGGAAACAGTTGGTCTAAAGATACACACAGGCAAAATATTTTTTATCATGTATTTAGATAAAGCTTTGGAAAGCATATTTTCAAAAAGTGAGAAATGCCACAGTGTTGTCCAAAGAAATGCTTCTTGTTCAAACAAGAGTAGGTTGTTGGGTCCCCAGGATGGAACGAAACGCAGTGGTAGTGTGTGTGTGTCTGGCCTGCATGCAGCTCTGGGTTTGATCCCAAAATAAAGACAAGCAAGTCTTGGTCTTGACTTGGCCTTCTTAGGGGGGCTTGGGTTCCTCAGTGACTGAGTTTCTGAGGCCAGATGCTTTCCTTCTGGGCCATACTTCCCTGAAGTGCCAAGGCCCAGTCCCCATAGCACGCCGTGGCCGTGCGGGCTCCCTGTGAGTTGGGCCAAGGGAGAGGCCCCGTTGGGTTACCAGGGCTCCAGCCAGAAGTGCTTCTGGTGCCGGGTAGTGCTGGAATTGGGGCTGGACCTCCTTAGGAGCAGCATTTGCTCCGCCCCTCCCCCCAGTGCCCAGTGTTTGCATGTGAGCCGGGGATGGCAGTGCGATGAAGCTTGGGTACACGTTCAGTGCAGACTAGGGAAGGTGTATCAGAGACCCCAGTCCTGGCCTGATTGCCAATACTGGCAGTTAGCTGAGCCCCACCATTTAATTAGTGGGTAGGGGACTGAATAATTACTTCATTTTGTACTTTAAAGAGCATCTATCACATTTAACTTAATGTGTTTTAAGTTGTGACTGCTTGAAACAGGATGTCTTTTGGGACAGACAGATGAATAGCTAGTAAACCTTATAAAATGTGTGTCTTCTCTCTGATAAATTTGCTCATTTAGAATGGTATATATTTTTAAATTCAATTAAATTTAATTTGGTTTTTGTGCCACACCTGACAATTCTCAGGGGTTAATCCTGGCTCTGTGCTCAGGAATTCGATGCTCAAGGGACATACGGAATGCTGGAGATTGAACCTAGGTCAGCCATGTGTAAGGCAAGCATCTTTTCCGCATTATTAGCTCTTTGCCCCTAGAATGGTATTCTATTAAATGAAGCTGTATTAAATAGCCAATCCCTTAGGGCTGGAGCGACTGTAGGGTGCCTCAAGCAAATGACCCAGCCTGCACCGCCAGGAGTGCTCCATGAGCTCAGAGCCAGGAATAAGCCTTGCGGGTTGTGGCCCAAACAGCTGCCAACTGTGCCCACACGCCCCCAAATTCACCGATTGCTAAGAATTTTTTCCATTTATTTCATTTTTCTGACTATACGTGTGTATATATGTATTTTTGGTGATTATACACATATATATGTTGTTTGTGTATATGTGTGTGTGTATGTATATGTACGTATCTATGTATATTGTGGCTATTTTCAGTACATTATATTTAGTTTTCCTAAGTCAACTTTGATCTGGAATAGTTCTTTGGATTTTTATCTTTCAGGAACTGGACATATTTAAGTGTAGTTTTTTTTTCTTTTTTGGGGTTACTCCTGGCTCTGCACTCAGGAATTACTCCTGGAGATGCTCAGGGGAAACTGGGAATCAAACCCAGGTCGGGCGTGTGCCAGGCAAGCGCCCTACCCTCTGTACAAAAACTCCAGCCCCTAAGTGTATTCTTTTTAAGGCATCCTTCAATTTATTTTTTTCTGATGTCATTTTTGGGCCATAACCAGCAGTTCTCAGACAGGACTTGGGGACCGTATGTGTTGCTGGCAACCTAGGTTGGCTGTATGCAGGGCAAGTGGTCTGCCTGCTGTGCTATAATCTCAAGCCCACATCCCTCAGTTTCAAATCTGTCCAGTTATTTTTTTTTCCTTATCATGCTTCCTCATTACAAGTTTCAGGGTAATTTTTTTTTTTTTAGAATCTAGAGTAATGTGGCCAGAGGGATAGTACAGACTGATCTGGGTTTGATCCCTGGCAACTGACATGGTCCTGTGAGTGTGCCAGGAGTAATTTCTAAGTTCAGAGCCAGGAGTTAACCTCTGAGCATGGTGGATGTGGCCCAAAAAGAAAAGAATAAAAAAGATTTACAGTAGCGATCCTTTTTAGTACTGTTTGTCAGGGGGCAGCGGGGCAAATCATGGTTGTCTACCTCATTTGAGGAGCTGTTTGCTTTGATCATTTCATTAAGGTGGTGTCTGCTAAGTGCTTCCAAGCATAAAGGTACTTTTTTCTTTTGCGATGAATAATCGTGGTGTTACACTGCAAGATAACACCTGAAAGAGTCTTTGTCTAAAAATTTGTCATTCACTTAGCTTCTACTTATTGGTAATTGCTTATGTTGTTACTGTTATCTGAGTGTTGAAACACAGTAAATCATGAGAGTATACTTATCTTTATATTATTAATATTTACTCAGATTTATTGATAATGGTTTTTCTTTGTTTTGGGGCACACTAATTGCAATTATGTTTGGGGGTTGCTCCTGGTGATATTCTGGGGACTAGGTAGTACTGGAAATTGGATTTGGGCCTCCTCCCTGCAGAAGCAAGTACTTGACCCACTAAGCCTAGCTCCAGATTTCTCTCTGGCTCCAGATTTCTGTTGTTTTGAATTTGCTTGTTCATATAATGTACTAGTTGTTACTAATTGTTGTTGAGCCGCTGGGGCAATTCTGGGTGGTGCTTGGTGTATCTGGTATGTGATGGAGCCAGGATGGAATGGGAGCCTTGAGGTGGGAGACTCTGAATACCTTTGGAGACCACACCCCCATCCTCTTCTTTATTTTGATGCCCAGAATGTTTTCACTTCAGCTTTTCTCTGCTCTTTTGATTTTTTTTTTGTGGTCCTACTTTTTAAATAAAACAACTTGGGTTTAATAATTTAGGAATAGTTAAGAATTCTAGATTTCAAAAAAAAGGAATTCTAGATTTATTTAGATTTATCTAATTTATTTAGATTTCTCTATGCTCTAATTATTTAAATTTTTCTTTTTTTTTTACCTTTTTACTTAAATTTTTTAAAAATTAAATACCCGTGAGATAGACCATTACAAAGCTGTTTGTGATTGGGTTTCAGTCATACAGTGGTTCAGCACCCATCTCTCCCCCAGTGCACATTCCCCACAACCTTGACCCCTGTTTCCCTCCCGCCATCCCCAGCACCGCCTCCTCTCCCCAGCCTGCCTCTATGGCAGCCACTTTTCTTCTCTCTTTCTCTCCTTTTGTGCATTATGGTTTGCAGTACCGATACTGAGAGATCATTGTGTTTGTTCAGGGTGTTCAGTATTTTTATCAGGAAGATAAGGTTAGAGTAGCTTTTGGAACTGGGTGGCAGCTGTGGGGGATGGACATGACTGCCAAGGCTTCTGGGAGTATAGGGATTT